AATTTTTATTTTTTAATTGTTAATTTTTTTAATTATTAATTTTTTTCATATTTAGAACACGGCAATAAAAACTTTAGGTCTTTGGTCTAGCTGAAATTAATTTTTAAATCTACGTTAAGTTTAATATTTTGTTATTTAATGAACAGTATTCAGAAAATTCAATTTTATTTTACTTTTTAATTTACGTTTAAAAATGTTTTTTTATTTTAATTTTTAATTTTAATTCTTTTAATTATTAATTTTTTATCTTAATTTTTTTCATATTTAGAACACGCCATAAAAACTTTAGGTCTTTGTTTAGCTGAATATAATTTTTTATTATCTACCTAAGTTTTTTATAATTTGATGAACTAGTATTTTCGAAAATTAAATTTTGGTTTTAATTTATGTTTAAAAACTTTTTGTTAATTTAAAATTCTGGTTTTTATTTTAAATTGTTTATTTTTTTAATTAAATTTTTTTTAATTTAAATTTATTTTTAATTACATTTTTTAAATTTAAAATTCTTGTTTTTAATTAAATTTTTTCAATTTAAATTTTTGTTTCATATTTTGCAGAACACGACTATAAAAACAGAGGTATGTCTGTCTTTGGTCTAGCTGAAATTAATTTTTGATATCTACATTAAGTCTTAAGGTTTTTTGTTATAATAGTTCTTCAAGTATTTTAGAAAATTAAATGCTGTTTTTTTGAATTAATGCTTAAAACACTTTTTAATTTTATTTTTTTTTAAATAAAAATTATTTTTTTAATTTTAAATTTGTTGTTTTTTAATTTAAAACAAATGTTTTTAATTTTCTAATTATTTTTATAATTTCTTTACAATGAAAATTTTTAATTACAGCTGTAAAATATATATTTGCAACTACTTTATTTGAAATATACCAACATATTAATGAAGTAAAATGTGTAATAAAATTTATAAAAATTGCAAATGTTAAAAAAATTTATAATTGTAGATATTACACAAAAGTATAAAAAGACGAATAACCGTAAAAAGGCTATTACTGAAATTTTATTAGAAAACTACGTTAAAATACTGCTAACTAAAAGCGAGCAGAGAATGGAAGTATAGCACAAAACAACGGTAAATAAAAATTATAATTAAAAAAAAATTAAAATTAAAAAAAAACATTTTTAATCGTAAATTGAAAAAAACAATTATTTTTTAAAATACTAGTTCGTCAAATAACAAAAATTTTTTAAAACTCAACGTAAATATTAAATAATTAACTATCAGCTAGACCAAAGACAGACACCTCTGATTTTATCATGGTAAAAAAAAGCACTAAATATTTAAATTTTTTGAAAATAATTAATAATAAATGTATACGAAAATACAATTTTCAAATGAAAATAAGAAAAGTTAAACATTTCGAAAAAATTTCTGAAAAATGCTGAATACATTTCACAAATAATACATTTTTTTTAATCTAAAGTGTTTCAGTACAACATTGTTAGTGTCTTTTGAAGTACAATAGAAAATGCACCAAAAAATTTTTCTGGCTTAACTGTTTTTAAGCGTCATATAGATATTTTGCAGCAAATTCTAAAGCACATATTATACATAAGTAATTTCTTATAATTTTCCCTTTTAGCACGTAACATTATTTAAAACAATAGCAGTAACTGCCAGCCGCTATTTTATTGTCGCATGCATTTTATTAACATTTTTCTTGTTATCACACACACACATTTATAAAAAGTATTGCGCTCTTTTTAACATAATTTCAAATACATTAATATATTTAATATGCATTATTAAAAATAAAAATTAACAATTAACGAAATGTCAAATTTAATTTGTCGAAAATGTACGCCATTTCTCTCTCTCTCACTCTCACCTGCTATGCAGGCTAAGGTTTGTCAAATTTACTAATCAAATGTACGTTATTATTATTCTTCTCCTACCCCTCCTGCATTTCACCAACAACTCCACATGTGACCAACACCGTGCACACACATTTATACACCACACATCATTTGTCCAACCCGATTTGACGGAATTCGCATGCGTGCAGGCACACAATCGAGCGCATCGGCTACGACCAGCAGTGGCGGCGGCAACGCAACAGTGGCCAACCCATCGTCCAGCGCCTCAGCTGCTGCGGCAAGCAGCGGCGCGCCTTCAGCGGCACAAGCAGCGCAAGCGAGCGGCGGCGATGCGGCCAACAGCAGCAATGGCGGTAACCAACAGCAAGCGTCTGCTAGCGTTGCGTCAGCAGCCGGCGCGGGTGATGCCACTTCGATTTCAAGCGCCGGTGGCGCCAGTGGCGGCAATGGCAATGGCGGCGGTAGTGGCGGCAGCAATAATAGCGGCGGCGGTGGCAATGGCACACAGCCGCAACAGACAGCGACGACAATGGGTTAGCGAGCTGCAAACGATGAAAATGGAGGGCCTATTAATTCTAATAAGAATAATTAAATTTAAATACATAAAATATATAAAAGCTAAAATAAAAAGAGAAACATTTAAAAATAAAATAAATAATGCTAAAAATATATACATACATAGAGAAAAATAGTACGAGTACAGAAAGCAAAAACCGAAAATATAGTATGGAAAACATTAAAACAAAATACTAACATAAAATTAATTATATCTTATATAATAAATAATACATAATTATTAAAAGTAAAAAAGCTAAAAGGTAAAAATTTGGAAAAAAAAAATTAAAACAAAACTTGAAAACGAAATAACTTCGTTAAGTTGTTAAATGGGTAACAACAATAGCAACAAAATAAGTAACACAGCAAAGCAAAGTGTTAATTTGATTTTGAATGTTATGATTACTTTAATTATTAGCAGAAAGCATAGTTAGCAGTACATTGCAGGCAGTTAGTAAGCGTGCGTACAGCGGCATATAAAAAAGTAAACAAAAATGTGCATAAAAAGGTTAAGGAAAATCAGTAAAACAGCCGGTTATTAATCAATTTCATATTGATAAGCAACTAAAAATACACAAAAATAACAACAACAAAAAATTATAATAACATTTAAATGCAAAAACTATATAAAATTTATTATTACAAAACATAAAAAATAATTAAGAAAAAAACTTAGCATAAATAATATATAATAAATAAATGAACACACATTAGAATTGTATAGATGATGACTAAAAGTGTCACTGATGCTGTTTGAAGTTGAATAGGGGCTAGTTGAGGCGCATATAAAGAAGTTGCGCATGGTACAAGAACTCAAGCAGTTGCAGCAGTTTCGGTACATAACAAAACAGCAGCAACCGGTTACAGTTAGTTTAACAGTTAGCGGTTAAAGGAAATGTAATCAAAAAATAAAAATAATTAAAAAAATTAATAAATAAATAATTATAAAATCACACAAAAAATTGTAAGAAAATGGAGTACATAGAACAGTGTAGGTAAAGCGTGCAGGCAGCCAAGCACGCGTACGAAACCGAAAATCAAGAACGATTTTGTCGCACTTTGCACTACTGTAAGCAACAAATAAAAAAAAACAAAAAAGCAAACTCGTAACTGTATAACTGCAAGCAGATTCAACTAAAAAACTTTATTAGCTAAAATCAACAGCAAACGATTTACAAATATAATTAAAACACACATAAGAAAAACAAAGCAAAACAAAAAAACTAACAGCATTAACAAACATAACTCTTAAGTAAAAGCAGAAGAAAAAACCAAAACAAAAACAAAAAAAATGCAATCAATCAAATGCGCTTCAAATACTAAACTATTTGCATGTTTGGCAACGCCATGCAGTGACAGCAAGCAACACATAAACAAGCTAAACAAAACCATGCGTGTTTGTCAAACTTTAATTTCGGCATTGCAAACACACGCCAACGCCTTGTATAGCCGTATTTTTTCTATTTTATGCGTTTTGAACGCGTTTTGTCTGCACACATTTCGCCATTATGCGTTACGGCTATTTGAAGTTTAAATTTTAAACAATCAATTGCTTGGCTGTAAGCAGCAAAGGAAGCATCATACGCACGTTGGCGACGAAATAGTGCGTACTGGCGTCTGTGCGTTAACAAAATTTGACATTATGCCGCAGCAAAATATTGATTTGCAATTTTCGCAACAATTTTTTTTTTTAACATTTCAAATAAATTTAGCAAAAGTTACAGAACAAAAGTAATATTTTAGCTTCCCATGAAGCATAGCAACAAAGCGCGTTTGAGGGTGAAAGAAAAGTGCAGCAGCAGAAGTTTAAATTTAATTACTAACTAAGCAAAATATGAAAATATATATACTAAATAGTAAAGAAGAAGTAACAAACAAACGGGGGAGATTTCACGTCGCGGTAAGTTTTTTTTTCGAGTTTCATTTATCATCTGTATGTCGTTCTTTATACTTTTAACAAATAATTAAATGCAATTAAACTAATTAGTATGCCGTTTTTATTATGGTTATTAATAAATATTATTATTATTATTATTACTATTATTATTTATGTAACTGTATGTATATATATGTTTGCTATGCTACATGTAAACAACATTTAAGTCGTTAAGTCTAACGGTCATGTTTAATATTATTTCTAAATACAATTAAAAAACAAAATGCAACAAGAAAAATAAAAACAAATAAATAAATATAATTAATAAACATTAACACATGTATGTTTAATTTAAATAAAGTAATAAGCTTAGTTGGCGCTTGTTTGACGGCGTTGGAAGCAGGATTGCGAATTTTCGAATTAAAAAAATTTGGTTTAAAAATACGATTTTCCGTTTTTAATAACGATTTTGGCACTAAAAATTCAATTTTTAATTCCAAATTTTGGCACTAAAAATTAAACTTTTAATTCCGATTGGTGCTAAAAATTTAACTTTTAACTCCGATTTTGGTGCTAAAAATTAAATTTTTAGTTCTGAAAATTTTTTTATTTCATTAAATAATAATTAGTATAAAATTTTAAATTTTAAAATTTTTGAAAATTGAAAAAACAAATAAAAAAATTTATTTTCAAATAAAAAGCTGGAATGAAAGCGCATAAAAAAGGAAAGATTTACATATTTCTAACTAATACACTCTAATTTAAAGCAATTTAATATATGTAAATAAGACAAAAAGAGCTAACTGTCCTATGTTGTTATTTTACTGAACAAAGCTTGCTTTGCAAAAGAAATCCAAAATGGCAGAACGGTGCTTATTTAAAAATAATTTTTAATTATGATTTTCGGGTTTACAAATAATTTAAAAATACTTTTTAATTATGATTTACGGGTTTGCAAAATAAAAAAAAAAATGTATGCAAATTATTTGCAACCCTGGTAAACTTCCAACCAGGGTAAACCAGGTAAACAAAAAGTATTTTAATACACAAATAAGAAAATATATGAAAAAAATAAAGTAATGCAACAAAATACAAATTGGTATATAAATAACAATAAATAAATAAAATAAATAACTCAACTAAATTTTTTATATTAATACATTAATTAAATATAAACTGAAAACTTTATTTCATAAATTAATTGTTGAATCTAGCAATTTTAACACATTTTACAACTTCGTCGTGAAAAAACTAATTAATAGCTAACTTTTGCAAACTTGTGTGGTCTTAGCGCATTAGGCGTTTGAAACTATTTACAGTTAGTAACCAACTTTGTGATTTGCAAGTAGCTTCAACTTCAAAACTAGAAAAGCGAAACCCGAAACTGAAATATGACGCACTAGTTATACATATTTTAAATTATTATTTATAGTTTTTTTTTATTTAAATATATACATTTACACATATAACTTTTTTTTATTATTTTACAAGCATTTCAAATATCTAATAAAAGCGCTTTGTGCTGTTAGAACTTTATTTAAATTTGTTTGTTATATTTTTTGACAGTTACCGCATACAAATAAGTGGTAACGTCATTTACTAATTTTTACATATATTGTACAAATATTCATCATCAGTTAAACATTTATATAAAATCATTCAACTTAGAACGCAACATTTTCGGCAGCTTTAGTTTCGTAATATAAGCTTTTCGGTGCACCGGCAAGAAATTTGAAAAATAACTTGATAATATTCTAAACAATAATTGTTCACGTTTATGTGATAACAAAGCTAAATAAAAAGTTGAAAGAAAAAAATATTTTTATTTTTAATAACAACAAATGTATAATAATGAAAAATAATTTGAAAATACTAAAGTGAGCAAAAAATTTAAAGGCACAAATACTCAACCGCACCGCGGCTTTAATTTTGCTTGTTTCTATTTTAAATAATACAAGAGTATGAACTTGCAAGCATGCTTAAACATTTATAAATACTACAATAAGCGTAATAAATAAAATTAAAAACAGTAATTAAAGTAGTAGAAAAAATATATTTGAATTCTTTAACTGTTGTTTAGCTGTAAAAACAATCATAAAAATGCATAATTAAATTGTAATCTAAAACAAGTAAAATTATAAAACAAAAATATGTATATGTAGCTTAGTTTATAAAAAATTAAAGCGGTAAAAAATTAAAAATGTAACATTTGTAGCAACAAATACAGATTATCTTTTCCTACAAGCACCGCTTTCAAGTGGCTGGATCAATTGAAAATTGTGCTTCAATAACGAATTTGACTAAACAGTTAAGTTTCATATTTTATTGCGTCTTTAATTTTCTTTACTATTAATTAATTTATTTTTTAATTGTTTTTTATTTTCTTATTTTTTATTTATTTTTTGTATTTTTTTCTGTTTTTTTTTTTAAGTTTATAAAAAAATAGACGAAATTTTCTACTGCGTTTATATAAAAACCACATTAATTACAACTGAGGACGTAGTATGTACATACGTATTTATTTAACAATAAAACATTGAAATTAATTTTCGTTTAATATTAATAATAATCTTTTTTTTTAATAAATTTATGTTTTATTTTAAATGTTTTTTTAATAATAATTTATTTTTAATAAGATTATTTTTTTTTTTAATAAAATAATTTTGTTTTAATAAAATAATTTTGTTTTAATAAAATAATTTTTTTTTCAATAATATTGTATTCAGAATTGTTTAAAATTACAATATAAAATTTTTTCGTACAAAATTCGGTCCTTTAATAAAAAAAAAATTAAAATTAGCGCGTGTAAACTCGCTGTAAGGTATCTACATAGATGTTATGTACTTATGATATGACGCCCACCCCACTCTATGACTGCAAAATTATTGTTGTTTTACATTTCTTTTTTGTTTATTACACATTAATAATTCTCTCTGCATATTTGAAGTTAGTGCGTTAGTGTACGCATAACACAGTCCTTGCAATATAAAATGCAAACCTGCTTTTGTAGTTCAAAATTTGAAAATTTTGAATTTGTAGCAAATAATATTTGTATGTATAATTGCGATTCCATCCGTTAAGGCACACAATGCATATAAAAAAATCGATTATTCGCACACACATACGTACACCATTTCACATCTCTATCACATAATAAAATATTCATTATTATTTAGCATTTTTTCTAACGAAATTTTCACTTCCTTAATAAGCATAAGATTATTATATTTTTACATTTCGCTTTGTACTATGAAAATATCATTAGTATGCAAGAATAGCAAAATTAAAAAGCACTGTTACTTAATCAGCTAAAACGGCAATTTGTTTACTTTAACTTAAAAGCAGAAATAAGAAACAAAAATTAATAAAATACAAAATAACTAAACGTATTACAGTGTTGCATTTTGCATATATGTACATAAATACATAGAGTATGGCAAAGAAAAAATTCGAAACTTTTGAAAATTGTAACACCAATAGCACAAGAACAGGAGTAAATATGCTTAGAACAGCGTAAACATAAATTAAAAAATAGTTATATAAATATATTTACAACTTATAAATAAATTTAAATGGATTATCAGACAAGCATTCATATGTATTACTTTAATATATACGAGTACATATTATGCATATACAGACAGGAATATAAATGTAATCGTAGCCGAAAGTTGCAAAAACTGTAATATTAAAAAAAAAAGTATTACAAAAACGCGACACATGATTAGTTAAATAATAAAAACAAAAATACATACATTCAATGGAAAAAAAATTATAAAAATAGCAGAAGCGTTTAATAGTAAAAATAAATATATGAATATAATACATTAAAAGTATGTATGTATGTATGATTTCGATATTCATTATTACTAATGGTAATAAAAATAATAATAACAAATAAATGAACTCAATATAAAAATCTTCAAACTTTAATTAAAATTAAGTAAATGCAACTAATATAACAGTTAAGAATAAAACAACAGCAAAAAAAATCGTAAACCAGGAAACTGAACGCAACAGAGCGAAATGAAATGATTAAGTGGCGACGAAGACGTGTAAAAATAATAAATATGCAACAAAAACAAAACAACACTGTTTCTATTCCAATTAGGTTATATTTGCATACTAGCGCAAACTAGCATTTTTAATAAAATTTTTTCGTATTTTTATGTAAAATGTGTCCCAAAAATAACCGAACTTAATATATTTAAGTCATAAAATATGCAGCAATAAAAAGATGCAGTTGCAGCCTTTTGAATAAAAGAACAAGAAAAAACGTTAACTTTGGCTGCGCTGAAATATTCCATACAAGCACTCGATTTTGATCGAACAGTTTGCATGACAGCTATATGCTATGGTGACGCGATATCAACAATTTTTTTTAGGAATTCTGCTGTCACCTTGGATTATAATCGATGTCGATTTATAGATATCTTGACAAATAAAAAAATTTTCCATAAAAGAACTTGATTATGATCGAACAGTTCATTTGACAGCTATATGCCATAGTGGTTCGTTAAGAAAATTTTTTTCAGAGATTGTGCCGTCTACCTTGAACAATAATCCATACCAAAATTCGTGAAGCTATATCTTATCAAATACAAAAGTTTTCCATACAAGCGCTCGATTTTAATCGATCAGTTTGTATGACAGCTATGTATATGCTATAGTTATGCGCCATTGACCGTTCCAATTATTGGACAGCTTCTTGAGTAGAAAAAGACCTGTGCAAATTTTCAGCTCGATATCACAGAAACTGATGGACTTGTTTGCCTTCCTTACAGACAGACGGGCATGGCTAAATCGACTCAGCGCGTTACGCTGAATCATTTATACTCGCATATATATTTTATACGGTATCCGACGTTTGCCTCTAGCTGCTACAAACTTCGTGGCAAACTTTATGTTCCTTATTAAGCGTATAAAAATCTATGCACGCTCTGTTTGATGCGTTGAATTGAGTCTATGGCATCTATTTGGAAGAAATAATATCTTTCATAGATAATATAATTTACGTTTTATGCTATATACAAAAAGTTCCGTTATTTTTAGAATACAGCTAGTATATTCACCGTTTACTTTTATTGTTTGTTTTATAGAAAATAATTACACATGATTTCTGTCCTGGCCGGATAAAAATCCGGATCGGTTACGTAGACCCGACTGTCGTGGGAACGACCCCACGTATGTTATGTTAGGCCTTAATAGTTCAGTTCTATGCAATCAATGCACATTTTATTAAATCTTTTATAAATATACAATTTTTCAAATATTCTTTGTATTATTTTGTATGTACATATGTATGTGTATATATAAAAATGCGCAGCATTATTCAAACATTTTTCACAGACTCGCTTATTCAGACCGCTTATTTCATGGCAATAACGTAAAATACAAAAAAAAAATACCATCAAATAGCAGACTATTCAAATAATTTAGATTTTCAAAAAAACCGAATTTTCCAAAAGCTCTGTTGGTAATTTTTTTTTCAAATTCCAATTAAAAACCAACAAGTAATTCTAGTATCCGTCAATAATGTTGACCGCTCCCAGTACTCCCAATCAGCCGAGCAACACCTTACGCATCATATAACCGTTGGCACCGCTCGTTTGTGGCAGCTCTGGCTCTGGCTCAATGCATTTGGAAGAGCATAAATAATGCAATAACGGTACACGATATTTGCCACAGAAGTCCACAAATTTGATATGCTCCACGCGATTGTCGAAGAATACACCCTTGCAATTGGGATTTACACAACAATTGGCGCTTTGCAGATAATCATTGACCGTGCGCGGCACAATGCCCGGACCGTACGGTATGCCGGTACACTTGACGACACGCGCAGCGAACTCCATCAGTGTGGGCGGCTTCATAGCGATATCTTGCACGAAACGCACCACCAAAGGGTTATCGCGCAAGCTCAACTGCAAAAATATATAAAAATATAAATATGTTAAAAATAATATAAAATGACTTGAAGTTGTTAAATATGCGTGTCTACACACCTCTGTTAAATTTCTCAAAGCGATAATATCTTTTGGCAAGTGCCGTAGGCGATTTTTGTGCAACAACAATGACTTCAGGCTATTCAAATGCGCTATGCTGGTTGGTAAATTCTCAATGAGATTGTCGCACAGCACGAGCGCCTGCAATTGGCTGAGCATACCCACGGAGTCGGGCACATCGATGATTTGATTGCCGCCTAGCGAGAGTACCTGCAAGCTGGAAATGTGCGTATATTTAGTTAAGTATATTTTTAAAAGCTAGTGAGCAAAGTTTACAACGACAGATACGGCGCTGTTGCTAGGCTAAATTTCTAATTCGAATTACATAAACAACAGCTAATTAAAACACAACATATAAATGATCAGCGTAACGAGCTCAGGCGATTTAGCCATGTCCGTCAGTCTTTAGAGTACATATACGCAATCTAGTTCCTCTGAGATATCGCTATGAAATTTTGCACACGTCTTTTTCTGCCCAAAAAGCTGTTAATTTGTCGGAATTGGCGATATCGAACTACTATAACATATAGCTGTCAAACAAAGTGACCGAACAAATCAAATCTTGTATGGAAGCAAAACTTTTTTTTATTTTACAAGCTAATTCTCCGAAATTGGGCACGGCTTATTGTCTAAGGCAACGCTACAATCTTATATAATATAAAAAAGTTGAAAATAATTAAACTGTGTTAGTAACACTTTCTGTTTATAACATCTTGTTCCACACTAACGCAGACTGATAACATCTGAATCCGTATAGAATCAAAATTTTTATTTATTACGCACTGAAGTCTGTTATTACATACATACAGATGTACATACATACATACATACATGCACAGCTGTTCAAATACAAAGTCAGCGCTAATCAAACGTGCCCTAATACATTGAAAAGCCGCCAAGCATCTATTGCCTTTTGTGCATAATTGTATTATTTATGAGTTTATTATAGCTTTGTTGTATTTTTTAATTTATAATTATACAAAGATTCTTATCGCCAGACAAAGGCTGCCTAACGCTAAGTACATTAATTTTTGTGACTGCGTTGGTAAACACACAGTTGATGTGAAGGCAGACATGATAAGCGCCGCCCCACACAAGAGCGTACGTCAAAATGAGAGTTCCAAATGAGAGTTAGATAAAAGGAAAAACTAATGAAAACAATTAATTACACAAAAACAATTGCGTTTGATACATGTTTGAATGCCGTTGAAAGTGAAGTGCTTTACTAGTTACATGCATATGTATGTTATTATATATATTCTAAATTTACGTATTTCATTTAAATTGCTATAATTGCATCATAGCAGCTGTCATGCTATCAGTTTATTCTGAGACTATTGTTATTACTCATATTAATTTTTATCAGTTATCGCAATTGCTTGTTATCAGTAACATGTTATCGTTTTTCATATTGTAGAGTAAAAAAAAAAAAAAAAATATCTCAAGTGTGTACATACGTTAAATATTTGTTGATAATTGCAAATATAATATTTGCGCATGCATAAACTTGAAAAGCAATTGACTTATTGGAGAAATTACTAATTTTTGTTGCAAATGGGTTTACGGACGAGCATTTGAAAACAAAAGAAAAATTACTGAATAAAGTTGTTTACATTCAACATGTGTTCAAATAATCGTTGAGCGTGAAATCAATTGGCGCAGGTGTCAAAGCATGTATGGTAGAGTTAAATTGTGTTGAAAATTAATTTATCGAGCTTTTATAATAAATGTTTATATCTTTGTTTTGCAAATTTAGCTGCACTGCGTTGCACCTGTGCTCACGACATTCAGGTCTACGTAAACGCAACGAATCCGAATTTTTATGCGTCGAAGGATTATCAAGCATACCACAGCATACCTCAAAATTATTTCAAGCATGTTTTCTGCTGTTACAACAACAACAACAATTATATGAAAGCAAATCGCACGCTAAGCTACTGCAATACGCTGTGGCATATTTCTCGCTGGATTTTTAATCACATATGCTTAATAACACAGTCAGTTCCATAAGCATTCATAAGTTGTTTCGAAAACTTAAAAAATTGCTTGAATTTTCATTTATAACCCAACACATACTACTAGTGTACAAAAAAAAGATCTGGCTAAGAAGAGCGCACAGCATAATACACACTAACCCAGTCGCGAATCAGAGCGTGACAAGCTGGGCAACTTGTTCACTTTAGCCACTGCTTGTACCACAAAGTGAGTAAATAAGCGTTGTTTCTTGAAATTACGCTCTTACACTTATGCATGCCTGTGTGTAAGTGTAATAAGCATTGTTTCTTGAAATTACGCTCTCACACTTATGCATGCCTGTGTGTATGTATGTATGTGAAAAAGCTTTTTAAGAAAAGTTAATGGTACACGGTACCAAACGTATTTCATAAATAATCAGCATCTGTAGTCAGTTTTTTATTTACATACTTTTGTGTTGTGTATGTATTTGTCTGCAGCACAAGTATAACGCTGTACGAACTGATAATCTTCGCTCGAAAAAGGTCAGTGACGGCTTTCAAAGTTTTTAAAGGAAAAATAACTGATATGACAAAGTTTTTTCACAGACATGTTTATATATTATTAATTTCATAACTCTTGCTTAGTTAGACAACCTTCATATATGTACATATGTACGCACAAATATAAATAGTAAACAAATTTTATTATCTACAAATATAGTCAGGGCCGTAAAAAGACAAGCGGAGTCCGAAAATGATTGAATTGTTGTAGAAATAGATAGTCTATGCGCGCGTGTAGATTATTTATTGCGAAAATATTGCAGATTTCATATAACAGCAAAAAAAAAATTGACACTATAGACACTCGATAAACAAAAAATGTTTAGTACAAAAAAGCGACTTTGTTATAAAAAAAATTATGAAAGTAGGCACACACTCGCAAACTAATTATGCACACATTAATTTCATAAAACCGCACAAACACAAAACCAAACACTCTGGCCCACCTTTGCATTTTCCATATATCCTTCGAAATTGCTGTTATCCTATTTGCGCCAGCGTAGAAGTAGCGTAACTGCCGCAACTCTAGCACCTGTTCGGGAAAGTGCGTCAGCTGATTGCCGCTCAAATTCAGCTCCTTCAAGACTGAGTTGCGCATCATAAACGATTTTGGCAATGATTTGTTGGACAAATTGTTATTTTTGGCTATCAATGTGACTAACGGTAAATTGCAAATAGCCTCGGGCAATTGTGTCAAGCAATTGGAGCTCAAATCCAGTATTTTCAAATTGACGAATTTAGTCAGTGCTGGCGGCAGTTGTATGAGTCGGTTATGATTCAGCAGCAACGTCTCGAAGTTCTTGTGTGTTGTGAGCGCTTTCTTTGCATGCAAATCGTCGTCCAGTGTGATTACGCTGAGGTTCATACGTCCATAATCCAGTGTTTTTTGCTCGCGTGAGTCAGTGTCGCTGCTGTCTGATGTGTAGAGCTCCATTTTTCTTAATAAATTTTATTTAATTTTCTTGTATATAATAAATTTAGTATTTTTAAAGCTTTTGTAATGTTCTTTTTATTTATTTATTTTTTAATCATTTATTTTTTTATTTTTTAATATTTATTTATTTTATTTTTGTTTTTTGTTTTTTTTTTTTGTTTAGCAATTGAAAAAATAATTTTGTACAATTCGTGCTTCAGTTGATATTTGGCGCATAGTTCCGCGCGTGTACGTCTTACTTCACTGACTGTTATTCAATGTTATAACTCAAAATGTTTATTGCAAGTGCCGATTGCCTATTACTCAACTGAGTACGCGTTGCGTTGTGTGAGCATGAAATTATTATTATATTCTCAATTAAGCTTATTCGCATAAAGCATGCGCTATTTAAGTTAACTAAAGCGAAGCTACTTGTACTCTGTCTGTCTGCTGATTGACCCGCTAAGTAAACATTCGTTGGCGGCGGCCGCTGTATTTCGCCCTCACGTGTTCACTTCGACGACGACAACAAGACTGCTAGTGCTGATCAGTACGTATTGGATGTAAGTTCCGCTTTTGATTCGTGTGATTAATATTTTCAATATATTAAAGGTATTGTAAATAAAAATGTTGACAATAAAAAGCTCGCGCCATAATAGGCGAGATGGATAAGCAGTGTATGCGCCGAAAACCGTATAAAAATTTGTTTTTCAAAACGATTTACTATAAACACAAGACAGCGTATTTTAAGCTAGCGAATTTTAAGCCAGCGAAAAAAAGGTGTGTCGGAGTGAGGCTTGACACAAGCCCCTCAGAGCACAAAGCTGAGTTGGAAAGAGATTGGTTTTAAAATAAGTTTGAACTGGTATTAAATCTTCAAAATTCAAATTGAGTACCTTAGACGCGCCTTCAGCAATTAGTAAATTGTTAGCGTTTCTAGAGAATACTGACTAGTACTCCTAGTGTTCTCGCAACGCGGTTAGAGCTGTCACACCGCATTTCCTTAACGTCATCTCTTACTTAACTACATTTTTGACTGGGCTATCTTTTATATTTTCGTGTACTTCTGGATTTTATTCGATAAATACAGACTCCTGGCAAGTTTTTGGGAGGCTATAAATTTGTGAGTTTCAAAAAAAGTATTATTTTTTGTATAGTACCGGAGCTATGCGCGTATTTGTAAGATTTTTTAACTTAACGTAGTCGTGGCTGAAAAATTTAAACAGTTTTTTCTTGAAAAGCTGTTTTCGGTGTCGGTGAGTATAATTTCTCGGGTCGATCGACCGACTGTGACACTCTGACGTATAAATGTTTTTCACAATAAATGCCGTTTGGTAAGCCAGTGGTAGTCAATCGATCATTACCATTTACCTGTAGTAATAATAAATTTGGTTTGGGTTTTTGAATTTGAGATAATTTTAAGCAGAAAAATCTTACTCAACGTCAGACAGCGTTTTTCAGAGATTCTCTTAAAATTCAGCTGTGGCATGCTGCCTGCTGTACGCAAAAATAAATATTTTTTTTCAATTTTTTCTATACACCAGTAGTAGTCTCAATAGTCTCGGCTGCAACTGAGGTTTATGAATATCTAATCCATTCCATGTGCTGCTATTATAAACCTTCGGGGACATTATCATTGTATGGCCGACTTCTCTTCAATCATTCTTACCCTGGGCATAACTAAGTATGTATTAAATAAAAAATTCTACCTAACATTGTTGCTTGAAGTATATTTATTAATGTTGATTACTATTGCGATTTATTGACTTGTTTTTCTCACTATAATTAGCTAAAATGTATGTATGTACAAACAGATGCGCGTGTATAATGCCGTTTTGCACTGATATCAGTTAGGAATCATTATCAAGTGCTATTTGCATACATACATACATATGTACAGACAATTTAATGAAAGCTTATGATAAGCTTTCAATATTTTGTTGTGTTTATTATTATTCCACAGTCCTAGCGTACTCAGACTTGTTAAACGCATTAAATTATGCTCATAAATAAAAAGTATTATAATTTTTATACAAAATCGGTTAAAGCTTTCTTATAGCAACAGCTTAATATAATATTATGTTATGTACTCAATACATGCTTCGTTGATAATTAGTGCGATTAGGAACTCAGACCTACCTCATTTTCGTTGCAATTCAAATAACTGACGTCTGTGAAATTTTCAACTACTTTTGGCTCTGCCGTTACTCATGCCACTTACTTACCAAAATATCCAAATGTTTTTGCTATATTTTTTTACCATCAAAAGTATAATGCTCACACAATTCTGGCGCTTTGATAAGACCACTCAAGATTAGTGTAGAAATTTTGTTATCACTAACGTATTTGTTAGTAGTCTACTTCATAGTTATTATATACGACTTACGTAACATGTATATTTTTTTTATCGGGAATAAGAAAAAAATTATTGTCCAAGATCTTTTATTAAAGCTTTCTACGTTATTGACCATATAACAATTATCGGCTAGCAATACAAAGTATTTTCCCAGCCAAATATCACGTGTTCACTTCCCACACGCTTTTGTCTAATTTGTATTTCAAAAGTAAAGGGTGTTTCTAAGCCTGCAGTGATTCAATTTTCAGTACTGCAATACAAAAGAAAAATAACGTTCCTTTAATGATTAAAAAAAATTTTAGCTCGCCGAACTCTTCGAATAGCAATTTCACTATGATAACTGTATGTGGACCAATGGCATAAGTTAATAAGTCATAAGTTTGACATCAGTTGCATATTCGCTTTTGTTTCTTCATACTTTTATTGTTTTGCAATGGCGGAAAACATCTCTGAAATAATTTTGAGCAATGCTGCCGAGTTGATAATCCTTGGCCAAGTGAAACTCTGTGTGTGCGTTCCGGTTACGTGTACTTTTACACTCTTTATACACTGCTATTGCTTTTACTTACATTACGGAGCAATAATAGTGTCTAAGTGTTATTTAGCTCCAAATGGCATATTGTTGTGCAGAATTCTGATGAAATTAAAATCGGCTATCGCGAAATTTAATAAAATTGTTAAATAAAAACTATAAATTATTTCTTTTTTGCATACATACTATGTAGATTAATCTTTGCAAACGTCAAATATTTTTGCACTTACATATGCACATACATATGTACATACATATGTAGATAAGACAATGTCACTTTAACAATTAAAGATTTTGTTCTGGTCTATTGGTTGTGAACGTAAACAGTGAAATAGAAATTAACAAAGAATTACATATGTATGTATAGATGTACATAGGCCGCTACCGAAGTAAGTACATATGCATATGCATACATACCTACAATTTTATTGATAGTCGCCGTCTACAATCAGACCTCCCTTTCCCTGCATAAACACCCTGTAAACAACTATATTCGCATTACATATATTTGTTTTTTCGTTAGGCGCTTATCAAAATGTGTATATACGTACGTACGTGTGTATATTTATACGTATACCTTTATATACTATTGTTTTTGTTTTCATATGCATTTAAAAATAGTAAACAGCTTATATATTTTTATATTTAAAAATTTATGCAAGTCAACGCAATCAACAGCTAAACCAAACACAGTAAATAATTACCGTTTCTTTATACAGAGTGACCATAGATGCCGTATTTTATTGCAACTTTTACGATAGCAACTCTATATTCACATTTAATTCTTTTTTGTGGTATTTTATTGTACATATTTAAACCAAAAGAAATGTTACCAATGAAAGCTGCTCATATGTACTTATGTACATCAGCTTATCTAGCCTCGAAATCTTATTTCACCCGCTAATAAATTCTCTACTACAAACACATTTCGCTCATATTGTTTAAATTTTTTTCTAAAATTTTACGCCTTTCTTATCAACAATAAATAACACCTTATCAACCTCTAGTTTCATATGAAGTTCATCTCATACCAACAAATCCTATTTGGAACCAAACATTGCCTGTATTGCAGGTTATCTTGAAACATTTACTTAATTGTTATTTATTATTCGCATTAAATTTATATTATATATATACATACATACATATGTTTTTGCAAAGTTTATGCAGATGTTGGCATTAAATTTCAATTTCAACATTTTTTTTAAACATACATATATACATACATATGCATGGCATAACCTCAAAGTGAATTTGAAATTGTTGGCAAATTACAAATTGAAAGCTTCGGTAATACGTTAGCCGGCAGCATCTGAAGCAAAGACAAAGGAACGCTGTTGCTAACTTACAAGGTAATTGCACAGCCAACTATGACCTACAGATTAAACTCTCACCTATACAAAATCGACCCCGCCATAGCAAGTATATGTCTTGCGTAGAAAGAGTTCCACTCATCTAACACTCCTAACCCTATGATACGACCCCTTCGAAACTGCACATTTCCTCGGCCTCCCGTTAGATGATATCGAAGGCAACTAACTTAAACCTTGCCAATCTAACATGTTTAAGATAACCACTACAACAAAGGACTTGCGTCGTGTGTCTATATTAGTGTCCATGCAAATTCTTTTAAGGTATACTGTTTCGGGTAGTCGTGAGTTGATAGGTGCGCGATTCATACGATATTCGGTGTCTCTACGTAACGCAACGAGCCAGGGCTTACATCCGACCAAAGCATTGCAAATTAACTAAAAGAAATAGTGCTAATAACTCTTCTAAGCAACAACCAATTATTGTCTCACAATTCTTCAATAATAATTTAAATACATTTTCATATAATATAAACATACATGATATTGAGCCGTAACGTATACTTCACTATTGTGCACGACTTGTCTAAAAGAAGCAGCACATATAATTCAACTACTTTGACATTTCCAACTGTCATCAGCACCTCTGCAAAAACAATAATTGCAGCCTGTGCTAGCAGAAATTTACCCAACATTTATAATAGAATTTAACGCAAAGTCTTGAAAAAATTAATTTTAATAACGCAGATAAAAGACTAATTAATTTGTAAAAACTAAAGTAATCACAATGTCAGATCTCGATAAGTGGATTGAGACAGTTAAGGAATGTAAATATTTGCCAGAGAATGACTTGAAAAAGCTATGTGATATCGTGTGTGAAATTTTACTTGAGGAATCCAACATACAACCAGTTAGCACGCCCGTCACAGTTTGCGGTGATATACATGGACAGTTTTACGATTTGGAAGAACTCTTCCGCACAGGTGGTCAAATACCTGATACTAACTACATTTTCATGGGTGATTTTGTGGACCGAGGCTATTATAGTCTCGAAACATTGACACGTCTGCTTACACTAAAGGTGAGTGTCCTCATTCATATGTTTTTTTTTATATTTAACACATTGATATTTTACATATTTATATAGGCACGTTATCCTGACCGCATTACACTGCTTCGTGGCAATCACGAATCGAGACAAATTACCAAAGTGTACGGCTTTTTCGATGAATGTTTCACCAAGTATGGAAATGCTAATGCATGGAAATATTGTTGCAAAGTTTTTGACCTGCTGACGATTGCTGCGGTTAGTTTAGCGAATATTCAAATTAAAATTGTATACTAAACGTTTTTTGTTTTTTTTTAGATAATTGATGAAGAGGTGCTATGCGTGCATGGTGGTCTCAGCCCAGAAATTATCACACTTGACCAAATACGTACTATAGACCGTAATGGGGAAATTCCTTATAAGGGTGCATTCTGTGATCTCGTGTGGTCGGATCCAGAAGATATGGACCTGTGGTAAGTACTAAAGAAACTTGCTTTATGCAAATTATGTTTAATGCATGTGTATTTTCAGGGGACAGAGTCCGCGTGGTGCTGGTTGGTTATTCGGCCAGCTAGTGACAAAGGACTTTATGAATATTAACAATTTAGAATTGATTTGTCGCGCACATCAGCTTGTCAACGAAGGTATTAAATACATGTTCGATAGTAAGCTTGTAACAGTATGGTCAGCGCCCAACTATTGCTATCGTTGTGGCAATGTAGCAGCGATTCTGACGTTTAAAACTGCGAAAGATCGCACAACCAGTATTTTTAATGCGGTGCCAGAAACGGATCGAGTCATACCACAACAGAATACGACACCATATTTTCTGTAAAGAAACATATCTATTTGTCCACCCGCCCACTTGTGATTGCTCATCGTGGAGTATTATTTGCCTTTAACGTTTACGCTGTGTTCTTCTTTACTCCACGTTTTTGATATACTCGATTTACTATAGATTTGATATGTAAGAATCTATTAAAAAAAAATAATTATCTGTTAAACGTACATACACATGTAATAACAATAGCCAAACTATATAAAATGTTGCAGTATTGGTACCAACTGCGCTATGCAATTGTTGCAACTAGCCTGCAATATATCACAACGTGTTTGAATGCATATCATGATTTTTTTTTTATTACTACGTAAAAAATACTTTGGTTTTATACATAAAAAAGTTGTATGAAATTTGAGAATGTGTAAAATTTGTTTTAAATATTCGTCAACTAATTTTAATGTATTTAAATTCGTGGCCTACGGCATTTACTCAAGCTTTGTTACTTAATAATAATTCGTAAATATTGCCTAAAACCTTCAATTTGATGCCCTTTGCAATTAGATCTACAATATGCGACTAAACGAAAATATTCCCGCAGTTCGCGATTAACGTAGATAACATAAAAATCTCTTCCGTTAAATTGGTCAAATGCTGTGGAGTAGCTATCAGTGTTGGCGCAAATACTGTGGCTAAATTATGCTCATTCATTTTGTTAGCCGCGTAATGGGAAGCCACTCTAAAAAGAATTCGCAAAGTAAACAAAAAATAAAAATTTGATTGGCTGTTATGTTGAAGTACCGTTTTAAATGCTCTGCCATAAATTTGAGACAATTATAATGCGCTGGCGGTAAACGTTTAGCCGCCTCAGTCATATTACTTATCTGCTCTGCAGCGTTAGGGCTTCCTATAAGAAGAAGAATTGTTCAATAAACGCTAATAAGCTTTGACGTATTTCAGTTAATTACTTGCTGCTTGCATAAAACTCGGATAAGCTTGAAACGTTATAAGCGGCACAGGTAGTAGACGTAGATAGAGTTTCAACGTGCCGGCTATCACATTTACATTACCGTAAGCGCCCTCCGACATGTCCGTCTTTTCACCATCACGATCCAATGCCAATTTGAGCGCGTCTATTTCATCTGCGAAGCCCGACACACGATATATACCCTCTTGCAACATACCACGTGCCTCAACCTCTTCCACACAACGTCTCACAACGAATGGTACACTGCTTTGATACAGCTGCACTACCGTAGTCAAATCAGTGCCAAACACACCACGTATAAGCTTCATATCCGGCACGCATTTGGCCGGCACTAACTCCGCGCATTTGAAATGCGCCATGAAACCGCATGCTTCACACTTCATACCTTGTGCGGTGAAACCCCAAAGAAAATTCGCACAAAACTCACACCAATTGAGACCCTTAAAGTTATGCACCTTAAAGGTGTGTGCCTTTTCATAGACAAGTGGTAGTATTAAGTCGGCGGTATCACTGGCGTCCTTCATTTTGTTGGTAACTTCTTTATTTACCGGCACTTTGACACTATCGCAATCGCCATTGACATCTGTGTTTGTAATCTCTATAACACCACAATTGTCTTTCGCTGTCACCATTGACTTGCCAAGCTCATGGGATAACGCTCTCAATTTACGTCGGTTAAGTGTCATGTATGGACTCTGTTGGTAGCAATTGCGCGTTTGCTGATTTATTTGTAGTATGATGGGTGCAGCATGTAATTGCATGTAAAAATTAACTAGACCATCAGCAACCAAATCATGTATGGTATCATAGTGTTTGGATTGTTCTTGCAAGTAGTGTCCTTTGCCAGGCTTATAATAGATCTTAAAGTGTTTGGTACGATAATTAAAACGCACGCTTAACGTAAAATAATCATCTGCTTTGGGACTACGACGCAACAAGTAAGTGCCATCTGATTTATTGGACAAAAGTTGTTCAGCTTCTAGATGCCCCATTGAGCCGTGATACTCTGGACCATAACAATGCTCTTCATTCTTAATGTTGTTTATTGTTAAGGGACGTGTGCGGTGCAAAGGTTTGGGCGTGGGCGCTTCCAGCTGTATTTTATACACTAACAAAGCAGCATATTAGCTGTGGTCAGGGATGCAAGACACATAAATAATACTTACATTCGGGTTTCCACACTTTCTGCACGGGTGAACTGGGCTCCACAGATATGGTCGTAGGTCGCGACATAGCGCTGCGGTTTTTTGCCGAAAACTTTACTATTTTCTACAAGTCTGAATCATTTTTCGAAAATGTATCTGTTCGTTGAACTTTCGTAGAAAATTGCATCTGTAGAAAACTATATGAAGTTAATTGTCAAATACAATACTAAAAAACACACACACACAGAAAACAGGGCGTTAGATTGGTAATAATTTAATTTGTTAAACTATATTTCTTTGCACAATCACACAGCATATAAATCTATTTATCTATATTCGCTATCAAAAATGTATAAATCAGAAATCGGTTGACTACACATTCATTATTTAATCAGGTGTTTCTAGTTTGGTACAAAAGTTGTATTGTTTTTTGCTTTGATATAAAAGTATTGTTAATCGCATTAAATGTCTGTTTTATCACTTTATTCATATTTGACCATTGCAGTCACTCTGTATTTATTATTCTTGATAAACTGTCACACCAACAACGTCGCTAACCTTGTTCAGAAGAAATGAAAGAAGCAGGCATAACAAAACAAAAATTTTCCATTTGAAGTGTTTAATAAAAGAGAAGCGGAAAAGGTGAAAAACGCTTATATTGGTGAAAAATCTGTGAAAACTATTAATCAAGAATTTGTGTGAAGCTATCAACGCGCGTTAAATCTTTATTAGTTATCATCGTAAAGTATTCCCTTATATTATGTTAGTTATTAGATCTATGACCAGTAGTATGTAAAAGAGTAAGAACGGACACGCAACCAAACAAGAAAAAGAAAACGAAAAAGAAAACATTGAATAAGATTTCAAGCGGGGTGTGCGGTACGCAAAGCGGTAGTCAGACCTATAGAAGTGAGACCTTGAGAAAAAAGACGACGAATATTGCTTAGGACAGTGTAAGGCGAAGCACCAAGGAATGGCGTGTGATCTCCAGCAGCCGTTGTGAATAGAAAAAAATCGCAAAACTTAATAGATATTGTATATTACAAGTGAAAACTAGTTGTAGAGATATTGTAGTAAAAGTGCTTGTCCATAATGCCAAAAGTAATGGGATCAATTGATACGGAAGGGGGCGTGACAGCCGGGTCGCATAGTGGACGGGAGGCACGCAATTTAGCCGAAAAGCACCGCCGGGACAAAGTGAATGCAAGTATACGCGAACTAGCTTCCATAGTGCCACAGGCGGCGGATTCATCGCGACGATTGGACAGAACCGGAATACTAAGGTGTGCGGCACATGGTTTACGTTTGCAATACATATTTGGTAAATCAGTACCAATAAGGCAAACAATGACACAGCTCTCACAAGATCCGCATTTTTCTGATGCGTTGACATACTTATTAGACAGCTTCTTCCTAACATTAACCTGTCATGGACAAATTGTCGTTGTATCAAACAGTGTGGAGAAATTGCTCGGACATTGTCAAACGGATCTCTATGGACAAAATATACTGAGCATAACGCATCCGGACGATCATCCAAACATACTGCAACAACTAATACCACGTGACATGGAGGCGCTATTCCGTTGCAGTCACGAATATCAAATGCAGCAGCAAAACAATGATAGTAATAGTAATGAAAACAGTGATACGTTTTTGAGAGACATTGATGAACGCTTGCGTAACGATAAGCGTTCATTTGTTGTACGTCTAGCACGAGCGGGTACACGTTCAGAGGCGAATCGAAAGTATGAATTGGTGCGAATTGATGGCTGTTTCCGACGCAGCGACTACTCCTGCTCAAATGGTACATTTCCGATTGTGTCACATGTGTTGCGGCGGACACGTTACAATGGCACAGAGGGTGTCCATGCAATGCAGCACGATGTTATAGCACAAGCCGCACTGCACGGCATCAGTGGCAACGATGTGGTGCTTGTGGGTATGGCACGCATCATACATACACCAAAGATTACTACTTACCTAACGAGCGAGAATAGCGGACGCATGGAATATAGAACACGCCATTTAATTGACGGACGAATAATTGACTGTGATCAGCGTATCGGGCTGGTAGCTGGATACATGAGAGATGAGGTAACGTTGTTTACCACTATTTTTAGCTTTATGCATAAAATCACATTTGCAAACATACGCACACATATTAATATGTAATATTGTATTAGACAATTAGACAAATTTGTGTGGCAACTAAGTGCTAAAAATGCAGGTAGTGCCGTAAAGAGTAATTTTATAAATAAATATAAATAGCTCAATTATTTGCTTCGGGTAGGTTCGGTCGATAGAAGTCTCACTTTGCTGAAAGTGTGTTGTTAGTCTTTTTGTTTTTCTTTGCCGCCTTATCAGTCAAAGTACACTTTTTTGTGTGTATGTATGTACATATGGTTATAGCTTTTAGATGCTATTTGCGTTATTGAAACAAATATTATATTATATTTGTATGCTTGTACATATGTACTGGCTACACGGTGCGGCTTATCGCGCCCAACATGTGAATACGGCAAAAGCAAAACTGCTAAAAAGTATAAAAGAAAACAATTAAAAAACAAAACGATAAAATGTATAGCAAATTTTTTATTTTGAACTGCCGAAAACAATTTGGTTGTCTGTCTATTTACATATGTGCACACAGCTGTTTAATAGACAGCAGAGCATAACATTTGATTTTTCGTTGTCAAATTGACTTTGCGTATTTAAGCATACATTTATATTTATATATGGCTGTGTATAGATTTTTTTTGTTATTCAGCTCAACGGTGAAGGCATTCGCCGCATTAAGCGTATTGAACTGCCATTCAACCAAAAAAAATCAAATGATCAAGTAGACAAGACCAAATCATTCGGGTTTTGTTTTAACACTTTTCAATTTACGTAAATAATGTATATTTTTAATTTTTTTAAAGTTATTTTTAATTGTATTATTTTTTATGTTCAAACTGGTTTTGTGAAGTGTGTGTGATGTGTGCTAACAAAACAAAAGATTGACGGATTTTAATTTTATTTGATCGAAATTCTAATTTTGTTACATTGATAAATTGGTGGTGGAAAGCTTTTTTGAAGTAACAAATAATAATAATAAAACAATAGCTATCACAAAAAATCGAGAGGGCTTAATTATGTACACAATGCCAGCTGCCCAGTTTATGAATAAATTACAAGAATTCTTATAAAAAAATTGTGAGTAAGTAAAAATGTATGTATATGCACTCTACTAATGAAAAGTTAGAAAATAATAAATTGAAGTGAGCGCAGTGATTGTGTGATTGGTTAAAAAATGCCACACACTACCCTACATATATTTGAATGTATGTGTGTATATATATGTATGTATGTAGATATTTTTGTTTATGCCGTATAAATACATATATACATAAATACATATATACCTACAAATATACATGCATATCTACATGCATACAATTTGTATGCTTGCACAAGATAGATGTGTGTGTCGATGCTCACCGACAGCGCTATTAAATGTTTTACGTTTGTTAGAAATAGACTTGACTGTAAATATTTATATAGAACTATTTTATTCGCATTTTAACTCATTATTTTTTATTAATTCTATTTTTATTTATCTTTCTATTTTTTGCAATATCTTTGAAAAGCTTGTAAATAAAACAATTTATCTAATAGCAGTCCGTGACCCCTGCGGGAGTTGCATATTAGTACCTAAGTAGGAGATGAATGTCTGTTTTATGTATATACATATGTATTTTTGCTGATATCAAACAGCTTCGTATAAATAGATGGAGCAATAGAACAAGCGCACAGATACGTTTCTACACATACATACATTTATACATAAATTTGTACCTACAAGTCAAGTTAATTTTATACAAGTCAGCATACATAAAAAGATACTAGCGTTCATAAAATAAAATGAATAATGGTCTGGCGTGAACCAGCCCGACGGGTTTAGACCAAGTTTTTACACATAATTAATTGTGTAGTTTTGTCACTTATAAGAAACCTTACATAAACCATTGATTTTCGGTATAGCGCTGCATTGACTGCATAAAAAAAACACAATCATTTGTTAGTTATCAATTATTAAAATCGTACATATGTACATTTGTATATGTTTAACATATATACAAGTAAATTTTGATGTTTTAACAGTACATGCATATACTGTTACAGACAATAAAATATGATCAAATATATGGTTCCGAAATAATTAATATTATTATTTACCCGATAGATTTCCGATACGTTTTGCTTGTAATCGATTCCTACAATATTTATCATTTTAAAACACTGTTGCATTTCACTCTTATCTTTGTGTTCAAATTAAACAAAAGTGTGCTTTTGTTGTGACAAAAAAATATAATCAAGGAATAAAAATATCAATTATAGGCATTATTTAGTAAACAATTATATGTAAGTATATACTCTGTAGGATATTTATTAAAACTTGACATTTTCTTATAATTAAGTATTATTTGTAAAAGAGATGAGCCGAGGAAAGCAATTCACAGCGGCAGAGCGTTAAGCTCATAAAAATGGGGGATGGAGCTGGCGGAACAGATAGACGATTCGACATTCTGCACAATGAATGACGAAGCCCCCACCAGAATTATGGGCACCTGTAATAGCTCGCCAGATATTACCATCGCTAGCGGTGGTCTGATAAATAGTATAACCTGGCGACCTATGCTAACTCTTGCATCAGACCATCTGCCCATAATTATCTCGATCGAGAAACCTCCTGACTTTATTTCTGTGGATAACCGCACCTATGTTAACTTTAACAAAGCTAACTGGGTCGGCTTCACAGAATTTACTGAGAGCACCTTCAACGCACTATCCATTCCTACGGACGTCATCGTTGGCGAGCGTCAATTCCGCAAGGTGATCGCTGCTGCTACAGCTCGCTTCATACCGGCTGGAAGAATAGCGGAACTCCGCCCCAATTTCCCAGCCGAAGCAGCTGTATTAGCAAATGAGCGCGACACCTTACGCCATGCCGATCCCTGTGATCCCCGAATAAGGGATCTCAATTTGGAGATTCGGCACATGGTAAACCATCATAAGCGGACAAAATGGATAGAGCACCTGAAGTCCTGCAACCTCTCCACCGGTGTGAGTAAGCTTTGGACTACTGTCAAGGCCCTGTCAAATCCGAGGAAACATGACGATCGGGTTGAAATCCAATTCGATGGCCATGCCTCCTCGGACCCGAAGAAGTGCGCGAGCTACTTTAGCCGGCAGTTTATACTGCACCCTTCGACCGACAAGGCCAAACGATGTGTTACCCGACGGTTGCGCAAAATGCCAAAAGACTGCGCACCACTTACTTTCACCGATGAGGAGGTTCAGAATGTCATCAAAAAGGCGAAATCATCCAAATCCATCGGCCCTGACGGAATAAACATGCTGATGTTAAAACATCTAGGCCCAACGGGAGTAAACTACCTCACCAAGGTCCTCAACCTGTCGATATCCACTCTTCAAATACCCGATGTGTGGAAAGTCGGAAGAGTGGTCCCACTACTGAAACCTGGGAAACCCGCCAACAAAGGGGAGTCTTATCGCCCGATAACTCTCCTTTCCCCAGTAGTGAAGACACTTGAGGCCTTGTTACTCCCGTCATTCACCCACCACCTGAGCCTAGCAGACCATCAGCATGGTTTCCGTAAAGTGCACAGTACCACCACAGCACTTAGCGTCATAAACGCCCAGATAGTTCATGGCCTGAACCAGAAGCCACCCTGCGAGAGGACGATCCTCGTAGCGTTGGACTTGTCAAAAGCTTTTGACACAGTCAATCACGCAACGCTACTTGAGGACCTGGAACAATCAACGCTCCCTCCAGGGTTGAAGCGGTGGACCATGAACTACCTGAGCGGTCGACACTCATCCGTACTATTTCGAGGTCAAAACTCCAAACTCAGAAAAATTAAACAGGGGGTTCCGCAGGGCGGTGTCCTCTCCCCGCTACTGTTTAATTTCTACATTTCGAAACTCCCCCAGCCACCAGCGGGAATTTCAATGACCTCGTACGCAGATGACTGTACGATATTGACGTCGGGCAATGGAATCGATGGCATGTGTTCAAAAGTAAACGGCTACCTCTCCGATCTTTCTCGCTTCTTTTCTGCAAGGAACTTAACACTCTCCCCCACTAAATCCACAGCGACCATCTTCACCAATTGGACGAAGGAGTACAGACTGGACCTGAACATTTCAGTCGATGGCACAAAAATTCCGACAGTAAATAACCCTAAAATTTTAGGCGTCACTTTGGACAGTCTGTGCTCTTTCACTCCTCACACGACCGCGATAACTGCCAAAGTACAGAGCCGCAACAAAATCCTCAAGTCGCTTGCCGGCAGCTCATGGGGAAAGGACAAAGAAACGTTGTTGGCAACATACAAGGCAATCGGCCGGCCGGTCCTCAATTATGCAGCCGCAATATGGTCGCCTGGATGTAGTGACACGCAGAATAAGAAGCTCCAGACTTGTCAGAACACTGCACTCCGGACTATCACGGGGTGCCTCTTGATGTCCCCAATCGAACACCTACACAGTGAGGCCCGTATGCTTCCGGTTAAGGAACATAATGAGCTCCTCTCCAAGCAGTTTCTGCTGGGATGTTTTCGCAGAAACCACCCCTGCAGACGCCTGCTTGCAGCGGAGCAGCCTCCTAGGAACATCAAGAGGTCCTTCCTTGACTACGTCGACGACATCAGACAGCACGTCGACCAGACTTCGGACGCAACTAACTTCAGACAAGCACTGACCGCCATTCACAGTGGAGCCATTAACACCTTCACCGACTCCCTTTCAGTGAATGGCGTAATACGAGTCAAACCACCACCCATTGCAGACACAGAGCTCGAGTTGCCTCGCGAATCTAGAGTGACCCTCGCGCAACTTCGTTCTGGTTAAACTCCTACCTATCCAGAATAGACCCCGACATACTAAACACATGTCCTGCATGCAATGAGTCTCCGCATGACACTAACCACCTCTTTGCATGCCCTACAAACCCCACTCATCTAACACCCCTTTCCCTATGGTCCGACCCCGTCGAAACAGCTCGTTTCCTGGGCCTTCCGTTAGATGACCTCGACGACAACGAATCTAGAATTTATCACCCAAACGGGGATTAGATAATCGTTATAACAACAACAACAACAAGCTCATAAAAAATTTGCAAAATACCGGTTATGCCTATAGGAAAATAGCAAAAATTATAAAAAAAGAATCCCAAAAATTTGTGTTTAGTACTTTAGAACCGCCAAAAGAATGCGTGTTTAGGGAAGGGCCACGAAAAACGACGTCTCAGGATGCCAATTACATAGAGATTTTTATTAAAAAGCGATTCTTTGAAGTCCTCTGTAACTATCCATATAGAATTGGGCGTAGAAATTTCTTCGGAAACTGTTGCGCGTCGTCTTGTAGAAAGTATTTATTCAAAAGTTTGTCCCGGAAAGTTTCAATGTTGACAAAAAGACGGTGTAACAATCGGATTGCTTTTGCTTCAGCGCATATCAATTGGAGCGGTGAAGAAAATGCAAAAAAGTGGCGTAAGTTTCTTTCATGGAACTGTTGGAAAACGCCCAAGAGGCATGGTATTAAATGCCACATTCAGTCTGCAAAGCTCTTGTGAAATCTATGCCGCTGCGCAGCTGTACTCACAAATAAAATTCTAACTTATTTGCATTTTTAGTTATAATAGTCTACTATTTGAGAGTTTTTGTTCCATTATTCTATTTTATTGTCAATTGAAATTCCTAATAGTTCCTTTAAAAGTTGTCTGCTGATAATACTTAAATTTATATTTAGTTATTTTTGCTTTTGAAATGTTTCAAATGAATTTTATTAACTATAAAAAATAATTGTTTCCTCCTAAGAACTGTGTTGACACTTCTTTTGTTTTTTTTTGTTTTTTTTGCAAATAGTTGTGCACAAAATTTTAATGTTATTTTCGGTCAGTAACTGTAGATATATATGTATGTAGATACATATAAGAATTGAACTATAACTTTGTACATTATTTGAGGTTATGCCGTGCACTATCGTATGACGTCGCATTTATGGCTGTACTTTATACTTAAGATTTGCTATAAGTACATACATACATACATATGTGCATGTGTGTTTTGTGTTTCTTTTGTAAATATGTTTCTAGTATGTAGCTTGATTAGATGGCAGACGTACTGCAGATAGCATTGAGAAGTTCATGGTTTTTACGGCCAATTATATGCGCAACTTTATCTACATATGTATATATGTATATGTACATATATGTTTATATGCGCATGCACTTGTTTGTGATTTTGTGTCTGTATATTTCTATTTACTTATTTTAAGTCCATCGTTGATAATTGTAGCAATCAATGTTGCCAGTTAGTATGTTCGTATGTTTCTACATATGTGGCTCGTATAAGGGGTACTATTTTTATTTTATTAAATTCTTCATATAATATAAAAATATGCATATAATAATGATAATTAATAAATAAAATTATTTTTTAATAAATCGCTCTACAATTGGTACTTCTTTAGACTAGTTCTAGGTAAAAGAAATTTTAGTCGCAAACTAACCCAAAATTAACACAAGATTGTAATTAAATAGAAAAAAAATAGTTAAAACACTATTTCGACCATATTTTGTATGCAATTTTCGGTCGCCAAGCTTTCAATATTTTTGAAATATTGTGCAATAATGAAGACACGTTGTTCTGTCGTGTAATGCTCCATTTTTACTTAGTCTAAATTTTCTGCTGTCGATTTTTTTTTTATATATTTTTTATTTTTTTTATAACTACATACATTACTTTACTGCATAAATGGCGACAAACCCTTTATTTGTTTGCCTTAGACTTGTGTCCCTGCATTGTATTGTTGTTAAGTAGTAGTTTTCTGTCATTACGTTGCATTACACTATAGCTATATACAACTTCCAAACGTATGTAAAGAGATTTATGGAGCTTTTTTTCTTGACCGTGTAGGTAAACATTTATACGTATATAGCACATATATCTAAATACATGTAAATAAGTAAATTGTTATGAACATAGTAACTGTTTGTCGTTTGCTTTGTTAAGTTGTATACATACTTACATACATTTATGTAATTATAGGATTGCCTTCTTTCGAAATTAACTTAAGGCAAGAAAAAACGTTAACTTAGACAGCACCGAAGCTATAATACCCTACACAGGTGCATTTCTTATAGCAGAAAGGGATATAAAAAAATCGTTATCTTGATTTTGATTGGTCAGTTTGTATGGCAGCTATATGCTATGGAGGTCCAATACCACCTTCGACAAATCAGTAGTTTCTTGAAGAGAAATGGATGTGTAAAAAATTGCATGTCGATACGTCAAAAATTTTGCGACTAGTTCCTTCGCAAATATATTTATTTTATAATTCGTTTTTAGTTATTTCTTTATTTAAAAAAAAAAATTTTTAATTTAATTTTTTTTATTAATTTTTTTAAATTAAATTTTTAAAAAATTTTTTCAATATTAGTATTATTTAAATTTTCTGCTCTTACATTCTACATTATTTGCACTATATTTATTTTTTACTTACAGTGTGATCATTAAAGGCTTTAAATCTAGTTTTTTTTTATTAGTCGCACCTTTTTAATTATAAATTTGTTTTGTTTTTTTTTCGTCAATAAACCGGTGAACTAAAAATATGTGACGTTGTGCGAGATGATTTATCAAATGAAGTTTACTAGATGATGAGGCTATATATTTTATTACAAGAAAAGCTGGCAGCTCGTAATAACCATATATGCTATTAGTATTTTTTATTTTCTATTTGCTTAAAAATAAAAGTATTTAAGATAAGCTCACTGTTCCTGCCAAGCGCACTATTAGCCATACTGTAGAAATGCCAATAAACATAAGCTGTTATAACATTTTTTATTATTTGGTGTTTTTTTGTGCTAAATTTCTAAACAAATCTAAGCAAGATACACTTAATGCAGCTGATATAGTAATTTTTGTGGCTGACAGAAACGTCGGAGACCCTGTAAAATGTATATAGAAATGATCAGCTTGATGTGCTGAGTCGTTTTAGCCATGTTCGTCTGTCTGTATATACTCTTAGTTCTTCAGATATCGCTCAAAAATTTTGCACACATTCTTTTATCGCCAAGAAGCGCTCATTTGTCGGAATCGGCGGTATCGGATTACTATAGCTTATAGCTGTCATACAAACTGAACGAGCAGCAGCAAGTGCTTGTATGGAAAACTTTTGCATTTAACGAGATATCTTCACGAAATTCGGCATGGGTTATTGTCTAAGGCTATGGTGCAATCGGCGAAGAAATTGTGCAGATCGGATTACTATAGCTTATAGCTGTCATACAAACTGAACGAGCGGCAGCAAGTGCTTGTAAGGAACCTTTTGTATTTGTGAAGCGTTGTTGTTGTTGTTGTTGTGGTAGAATTCTGCCGAGTTGAGAGTCTTTTGCGGTATGAAAATCCCTGTTCGTTCCGGTTACGTGGACACGACTGTCGTGGGCACAGGTATTTAGCGTTTGTGAAGGGTATTTGGCCTCGGTGCAAGCGAAGTTAACATTTTTTCGAATTTTTTTTTACATCTTATTAGCATATTGTTTTCAGCAAAACAAAATAAATCATATTTATGCGGTTTTTAATGCTTTAAATGACTTATTTATGGGCGCCTACTTATTCTCATCTTCCCTTGCAGGTCTACAATCTCAGTCCGTTCTCTTTCATACACCACGATGATGTGCGTTGGGTAATTGTCGCGCTACGGCAGATGTACGACAACTATGACGAGCAAGGTGAAAGCTATTATCGCCTACTTACACGGAATGGAAACTTCATTTATCTGCATTCGCAGGGCTACTACGATACCGTAGACACGTCGCGTAATGTCTACTCCTTCGTTTGTATCAACACGCTGTTGGATGAGGAAGAAGGCCGCTATTACATGGAGAATATGAAACGACGCTTTTCCACAATTATACATTCGGCTTTGCCCATCACTTCAACGGTGGATGCGCCAGCCTCCCACGATCCAGTGCGTTTGGAACGCATTGTAATGTTTTTAATTGACAATTTACAAACACGTTATACCCAAAGTAATGGCACGGGCTGCGGTGAAGATACCGCTACACAGGCAGACAACGAGCGAACACGACGTCGACGCATGATGTTGGTGCCGCCGGAAGTCTCCTCGGTACGCAGCTCAATTATGCAATCGTTGTCCGTGGTAAATATTGCTGCAAAGAATTTGCGCAGAAATATACGTCGCAATACGCGTAGAGACTTGCGTAGGGCGCAAAGAGGACCGCAAAGCTGCAGCGATAGCAGTGATACATCCATCTCAATAGATAGCAGTGATGAAGACTTTGCGAATGATCAAAACACCCTTTCGTCCGATTCCATGCACACAGATGCAACGCAAGCGAATTTGATGCGACCGAGCGTGCTGCAAATGAATACGCAGGCATCCACAAGTCAGCCGAGCGCGCTGGAACAGCGCCTAACTGCGCCGACAATTGCTGAAACTGCGCCCTTTGATGTTGCAAATCCAGCAACACACACACCAGCATTGAAGCGTGCGCGTGCAACGGGCGCTAGCTGCAGCAACAGCAATGGCAGCGGTGGTAAGAAAAAGAACAATAAAATATACGTTGAAGAAATCATTCATCAGCCGAAAACTGGCATGAGCAACACAACAACGCCGCCCACACCCACTTTGCCCATTGCAAGTACAACCGAAATTCACGAAGTCATCAACAATTCTTTGCAGAACATCGATCAGTCGCTGCAGAGCATACAAGCGAATGCACGCAATTTATGCCAACAACAAGCGCAATTGTTGTCTCAAAATGTGTCACAGAACTTTAATCAGCAGCTGGATGAAATTATTGTGGAGCACCAGCGCCAAGCTGAGCAGCTCATTAATATCCGTAATGAGTACGATGTACATTTGCAGCAACAGCTGGTGCAACAACAACAAACGCCAGAGTTAGAACAAACACAATTGCCCGCATTTGATGACTTAGCTGCTATAGATCTACCGTTATTGCCGCAGTTGATATTTGCCGCCGAGGAAGAGACGCCGCATGTCAATGCTGCGCCAATAACCGCCAATTATATAGAGCCGAGTGCTACAATACTTAGCGAGTTGGAGAAACGGCTATAGTGTGTGTGCCCAGTCTGCACGTGTTGGCTGGCCACTGCTGTGACAATAACTTTGTTGTAAGAGTTATGTGTGTGTACGCAGTGAAGGCAGCGACAATTCCATATGTGTCACAAAACAGCGTAGTGTAATCGTAGCTGGTGAGTGTGCAGCTATTTTGTGTTTCAGTGTGTTACTCATATTAGGGCAGTAACAAAAACACTACAAACATCAAAAAGAAAAGTTCAAATTCTATTAATCGATTAAAAAATAATCGTGTAAATTTACCAAACGGCATTGATATGGTGTGCCAGGTAGTTGCGTAGTGATTTCACTACGATGAACAAAAAAAAAAACAAAATACTAAACTATGTGGTGGCTCAGTAGGATATTATTACACTTAAGCGATAAGGTGTTGAGAATTGTTGGAGTGTAGTGAAGATGACAAAAAACAGTTAGAATGTGTTGAGGCAAAGGCAAAACAAAATGCAGCAATTAATTGACACTGAAAGTGAAGAAAAAAAGTTAAAAAGAAAATTGTGTAATAATTGCACAATAAAAAGTCTTGATATAACGGTTTTTCACAGTGATTGTGCGCAAGCTGTGCGCAAATGCAAGTGTAATCCAGATATATAAATAGATAAACACGTAACTTGGCGCAGGAAACGTTACATACACAGTATGTATAAATATAGAAAGTTTTTTTTTTTTATAAATAAACTAATCGCAAAAACTGTAAACGCAGTGTGTTAACTATTAAAATAAAAATTATTATTTGTTTATTGTTTTTTTTTAGCTGAACATTTTTATGGCAAGCGTTGTAACAGCGCAAAAAAAATTTAATAATTAAATATTAAAAAAAATTTAATAATTTATTAAAATAAATTAATTTCCTTACATATTGTGTAAGCAAAAGTTTTTAGTTGAAGATTTTTATGGCAAGCTTTTTAACAGCGCAAAAAAACTTTTATAATTAAATATTTAAAAAAAAATTAATATATTATTAAAAAAATTTAATTTCCTTACACATTGTGTAAGAAAAAGTTTTTTAGTTGAACATTTTTATAGCAAGCGTTTTAACAGCGCAAAAAATTTTAACAATTTATTAAAAACATTTAATTTTCTTACACTTTGTGTAAAAAAAGTTTTTTTGCGCAAAAAAATGTTATAATTTAATATTGCAAAATAAAAAACAATTTTTAAGAATTTATTAAAATTTTTAATTTCCTTAAACTTTGTGTAAAATTTTTTTTTGTTGAACATTTTAATAGTAGCGTTTTAAGAGCGCAAAAAAATTTAATATTAAAAAAAAAATTTTATAATTTATTAAAAAAATTTAATTTCTTTACACTTTGTGTAAAAAAAGTTTTTAAGCTGAACATTTTTATAGCAAGCGTTTTAAGAGCGCAAAAAAATTGTATAACTTAATATTAAAAAAGAAAAAACTATTTTTATTGTAGTAATTTAAAAAAAAAATTAATTTCCTTATACTTTGTGTAAAAAAAAGTTTAGTGTAGTTTTCAAGAACACATAAAAGCAAGTGCCAGTTAAATTTTATAAAAAATAATTCTAAATGCATTATGTAGTAATTATTTACCGAAATTGTTTGAAACATTTGTATTTTATAAATTTTGCAATAAGCAAACATAATCAAAAAAAAAAAAATCAGCAACGCTTTGTAATTATGTAAATCATATAATTTCTTAGAAACAAAACTAATTCAAAACCAAACTGACTGTTAAGTGCTTGTCGCCGATTTTATATTAAAAAAAGTGGCATTATAAATTTTATTTTCAAAAATAATTAAACGAAAATTCTGCAAATTTAGTTTTTTTTATATAAATTATTGCAAACCACTTTGCATTGGTTAGTACTTTTCCATTCAAAATTTGCAATATTTGTTTTAAAAATTTATTTGTACTTTTCCATATAAAATTTGCAATATCTGTTTTGCGAATTTTGCTTTGTAAACATTTGGAAGTAAAATCAACTTATTATATGCAGTAGAGCGATTAGCTGAAAATTTAATAAATTATTTGAAAAATAATTTTAATAAGCAAAAAGTTTGGTGAACAAAAGTTTCTGAAACAATCTTAAAAAATATTGAAACCCATATTGAAAGAATACAAATTTCTTGAGAAGAATCTATGAAAAAAAAGAACATTATAAATATTTAAAAAATCTCTAATTTATTTGACGTATGTTTAAAAAGTTGCGTAGCACAATTTATTCATCAAATTTAAAGAAAAAACTTAACTTAAAAGACTACAAAAGCGGTGGTTAACTAGTAAAAAAACAAACGTAGCGTGCAATATTGGCCAAAAGTAAGGGCTTGCGCAGAGTATTTTTTATATATATTTGACAATTTAAAAAAAATATGAAAAGGTATATTTTTTATAAAAATAAGCAAAAAAAAATTAAGAAAGATTTTTTTCTTTACAAAAAAGCAAGTAATTAATTAATGGTAATAAGATAAGAAATCATTGAAAGACTAACATTTTTAGCGCGCTGTGCAAGTTTTGCAAAGATTTTTTACGGTTACGGTTTTTACGAACATTTCGAGAGTTGTCCCTATAAAAAATGTACCCAAAAAAATATAGTATGTTTTTTTTGTTTTTTTGATAATATACATACATATGTATTGTATGTAGCTCTTATATAAACATTTTAAAATTTTGCTTGCAAATTATATAAAAAAAAATTAATCCAAACAATGAAGTATATTTAAACGTGCGGCCGTAGAAAATATATGACAACAAATAAAAAAATATATTTGCTTTAAAAATTATAATAATAAGTGTTGTAAGATTTTTAAGAAATTGGCTTGCATATTTAATTTTTATACAAAAGAAAATAACCAAAGAGACAAGCTACTACGTTGTCTTGGCTTTCCAAAAAAACCTTGTCCACGCATTTTCAATTCGAACGCTTTTTCTGCAAACAATTCTCAACACATAATTATAAACAACAAATTGTTATATATTTTTTATTTTTTTTAAATTATATATTTTACAAACAAAATATTTTATAGTTAAAATGTGCTAACACTAATATATTTTTAAGCAGATTTTTACAAATATGTTTCTAATGTGTTGTTTTACATTTTGCTTAATAATCGTTTTTCATATAAAATTTTAATATTAAGATTTTTACAAATATGTTTCTAATGTGTTGTTTTACATTTTGCTTTATAATCGTTTTTTTATACAAAATTTTAATATTAAACTTAACCTTAAAATCAATTAAGTGCAGCTAAAATTTCGAAAATTCGGATATAATTGTTTCGTATTTTTAAACAATTTTTTTTTTAGTTTTATTTACTTAAAATTTATTTTATTTTTGAATTTTATTTGAAGTTTTTATTATTTTTATTTTTTATAATTGTATAATTAGTAAATAAGGTTTAAAAAACTAAACCCACTTGATTAGCGAAATTTTATGGCAAACAAAATGCGTTGTTTTTTTTTAAATTTTTTTTTGTAAATTTAATTGTTTTGCATGTTTTTTTAAATTTATTTTTTATTTAATTTATTGTTATTTTTTTTATTATTTTACAATTAGTAAATAAGTTGTAAAAAATTAAAACCAAATGATTAACGAAATTTTATGGTAAAGCAAAATGCGTTGCATTTTTTAAAACTTTTTTGTCAATTTAATTGTTTTGCATTTTTTAAAATTTATTTTGTTTTATTTATTTATTTATTTTTTTAAATTTATTTTTTTATTTATTTTTATTATTTTATAGTTTGTAAATATGTTGTAAAAAATTAAAACCAAATGATTAACGAAATTTTCTGGTAAAACAAAATGCGTTGCATTTTTTAAAACTTTTTTGTAAATTTAATTGTTTTGCATTTTTTTAAATTTATTTTGTTTTACTTATTTATTTTTTATTTATTTATTTATTTATTTTTATTTATTATTTTATTTATTTATTTGTTTATGTTTTTTATTTTTTACTTATTTATTTATTTTTTTATTTATTTTTTATTTATTTATTTGTTTTTTTTTTTTATTTTAATTTATTTATTTTTCTTTTTATTATTTTATAATTAGTAAATAAGTTGTAAAAACTAAACCCAAATGATTAAGGAAATTTTATGGCAAAGCAAAATGCGTACATTTAAATAATATCACTGTTTTTATTATGCACACACACATACACATTAATATGCATACATTTTTTAGCAGTTAAGGGTATTTCTTAAATAGATAAAGGCAAATACTTTTTGACTAAGAAAAGCTTACAATAAAAATTATAACAAATACTTATATGTATAGATATATTTATACTATATTTATGCATGCAAATTTATGTAAATATGTATGTATAACCCTGCGTGTATATGTAAGTGCGTGTCGAAAGCCATATTTGGAGCGTATTTAAGGTGCGGTGCTGTTTGTATTTTGCACATATGAGGACTAAAGAATTAATAATAAGAGCGAGAGTAATATAGAAAGCGTCTGATATACAATTATATATATATATATATGTGTGCCGTAGCGAACTCGTACTATTTTTTATTAATTGTATTAATATAAGTAATAAATTTAAAAATAATAAAGGAATATGTCATTCGAAAAATACACTCTTTTTATTTTCGCTGGTGTCAGGTAGGTTAAAGCAGCTAGTAGTACACTTTTTCTATTCGAAAAATCAATCATTCAACTACAAGTAGTTAAGCTGTCAATTTCATGTTGTAACACATAACTCGTACAAATAACAGAGAAAATGCAATTTAACGTTTGTTTGTCTGTACCATTTCGTTCGACGCGACAGACTGTCAAACGCATATTTGACAAATTGTCGAATTACCCCGTTTTTACCAGGCGCACAGTACTGCACGGCAAATGCATGCACCTGCAGCCCCTGAAAGCATGCCTCTCACATACACGGCACGTGGCAGAGCAACAGGGCAGCACACAGCCACATGTTGCTCGTATGCATGTGGCTGGCAACATTTCCGACGCTACTTGCTTGCGTTTCTGCGCGCCTGGTGCACTCGTCGGAATTTTTGATTTGTGAAAACGCTGTGCGCGCAGGTCCGTTTTCCTTTTTGCGAATTTGTACAAATTTTGGAGAAATTCTATAGCATTGACATACTACTTTTTATTTGTGAAATTAATAAAAGACAAGTAAATAACTAATTTTTTTATATATTATTATTATTTATTTCATTGTTTTTGCAAAAAATTTAAAGGTGCCATATCAATTTTAAATTAAAAAATTTTACAAAATAAAATTTATATCAAAATCAATACATAAATTTGCATTAATATTAAACAATATAGCTTTTTCCAAATTTTATAATAATTTTATTTATGGTTGCCATATGACTTTTAAATGAAAAAAGTTAACAAAATCAAATTTATACTTACATACATATGTATATTAAAAATCAATACTAATATGTACTAAATTCTTCAAAATATTCACATTCGTATTTAACAACACATGTATGTACATATGTATTTTTGTAGCTCCTACAAAATATTACAATAATTTCGTTTAGGGTTGCCATAA